GAAGCGAATTATAATGACGAGGAACTTGTTTTAAATCATATCAAAGACGGAGCATATCGAGATTAAATACTACATTTGGTAAGGAATTATAAGCCAAATAAAATGAAAACATCTGCGCTGAAGATAAGGATAGTGCTGACAGATCAACTTCCAATTCATTACGCGCCCGCTGCGGCGTTCCCCCCGCCGAGCAGCATGAAATTGATAAACAGATTTCGGATTTCAAAACATACTTTTGCTTTAGATCCTTTACACATTAACAAATATATATCGGAAATTCTATTTGATATAATCAAAAGTTTAAGCTTACTTTTATAAAATTGCTCTTACAGTCTGCAAAAAATAATAAGCCGGATCCAATTCGAAAATTAAGGAACAACACAATCATCAACATTAACTGAAATAGATAATTAGATAATTTTAGCTTATACGTCCATTATACATAAAACGCGAACATGAAAACATATTCTGCACTTGCGCACACTCATATGTGCAGTCGTAAAAGGTCTTACGCGCACGCGTAAACGCCTATGCGCATGTGTCAACGCGGGGCATGCGCAGAAAGTTTTTAGTTTTGAGGTCCGGATTATAGATCATTCCGAATTATGGGTGTCCGAATTAACGACTTTTGACTGTATACGTTTAACTTGAAGTAAACGTGCATGGAAATAATTTAAATATTTGACACTAAGTATTTGTAATGCTTGCGGTATGAATTCGTTGGTGACGTGTATAAGATAATAGATGATTTAGAGGTAAAAGTGTTTGGATATTTATTTATTTTATATGTGGAAATGTTCATATTTGGGAAAGGGTTATAAACTTTTTCGCGATCAGGTAATTTCATATATGTTCTTTTTACCAGGTTTAAAGATTCAGAAAATTGTCATGTATTTTCGTGAAATTTTTCTAATTTATGAGAGAAAAAAGCAGTGTTACATGGATATAGTGAAGAGTGTGCGCAATGCCATTTTTGTGTAATTCTGGGATGTTTTTTTAAGTAAAAATAAGTTGGCGTGTATATGGTTTATGTGTATGTGTTATTTTGAAAAACGCGTAAGGAGTATGGTATTGTGCACTTTTTTCCAATTTTGCAGTGAATATTTGTCATGATTAAGCAGTTTTGTTAGATAAAATTTCTAGCATAAGTGTAATTCAGCTAGTAGATTGTTGGAAGACGTGTTCAGTAGATAAAAAGAAAAGAAACATGTCTTTACTTCGTGAAGACATGTTTCTTCATGACATGAAAATGGCGGCGGGAAAAAAAAAATAGAGGGTTGCTGTAGGAGAGTTGGTCGCCAAATTTTCGCCAAAAAAACGCCAAGTTACCATAATGTAAAGATCAACCTTAATTATTTCTGCAAAATATCGCAAACGTTATTGCGCAATACGTGTGCCGTAATTCTTCCCTACGTGATATTACGCAATTGGAATCAACAGCTGCCGGTATTGGGAGAATAAAGAACTAAATACGAGTAACTGGGATGTTTTTCATTCTAATTTTCAACAAACGGCGTTAAATTTCCAGAATAGAATCCTTCTTTGCTTGGGTTGGTAGACTGCACAACTTTTAGTCCTATTCAATCCAGATTGTAAAGTGACACATACACAAAAAAAAAAAAAAAAAAAAAGTCCGTTGCTTGTTTTGCAGCGAACTTGTAACAGTTTCAATATTCGAGATTTTGCGGAGAAAGGGGAGAACCTCCCAATCTTTGTACTATATAATGTATTGGCCAAAAAAAATGAAATTATTTTGACTATTCGATTACTTTCACTTTATTTAAGCCATTCCGAATATTATTCCTAAAAAACTAATCTGTGTTAAAACACAACCATTTTTGGAAGTTTACTATACTTCAGCAGTTACTGCAACTATGTTATTATAAACATTCATACATATACTCATAATATAAGCATAATGATCATAATAAACACAAATATGAACTGACCAAGCGGAACGAGAATGCAAATTATTAAGATCTGGATAGAAATTCAAACGTGCGTAGTATTTGCGTGGGAGGAAAAGAATGCCGAATGTACCGAAATTTTCTACTGCTTTCGCCAATTCTTTGACCAATAGAACGACGGGCACCTGTCTGTACTCTTCGTGCACACCAAAGGTTATGTTAATACAGAGAAAGGGAGAAAAGCTATCTCCGGGAGTATGATTCACCATCTGACATTCCATATTAGGAAGAAAAATTTTTTATTTAGTTTCGGCTTTGGTACGGGGAAAAATAGCGCGTTCATTTAAAAAAAAAAAATAAAAAGCACTAAAAGCAAAAAAATAAGCACTAAAAACAAAAAAAAAAAAAAAAAAAAAAAAATAAGGGCTTTAAAGAAAAAGTAAGCACCTATAAGGGCCTTTATATTTTATTTTCAAATATAAGGACTTATAAGCACTTATAAGGACCGCTACGAACCCTGATACAAGTATGAAAGACTGTAATGTTGTTTACCGTTTTAATAATTGGTGGAATTGACTTACTGTATCATGGTAATTTAAAATATAAATAATTTATTATACTTATTTCTATATTTATAGAGAATACATTGTCACATCACAAGCTTAGTCCCACTCATTTATAGATGTCACTTATTCAGATTTAGTTGCAAAGAGAGGACTTTGTTTTTACTTACAAAGCTGATGGATGATGTTTTATCATCTACTCAACTTCATTTACTATTTGCACATAATTACTCTTCACCACTGTTAACAGATATTTACTATATTGTTTACGTTTAAAACTCACTTCACAGTGCTCTGATCTCATACATGTATACATTTATTCAAGAATTGTGTATTATACTATTTTATTACGAATTGCATTAGATAAGACTATGTTTTACTTGCATAGCTGATGGACTTTGTTTTAGTCATCTAGTATTTTATCATTTCATTTTACTATTCTGTTTACATAAAATAATGGCATTTCACAACTACAAAACTTAAAAGTTACTACAGTCAAGTCTTTAATCCGGACTCATCGGGACCTCGACAATTCCGGATTATCGGTTTTTCCGGATTATAGACCATCTGTTTAAATCTGGTAAGATGGCATGCAGAAATTATAAAATTAAAAATATGAAACCATAATTTATGGAATAAAAAGCAATTGTGATCTAAAGGGTAAAAAAATTTACCAAAAAAAAAAACTTAATATTTATTTGTTTACTTTATTAAACATTTCTTTCAACGCGCACATGCGTAAAGCATACATTACGCATAGTTGAAATTAGAAAATTGCAACTAGAAAACTATTTGATGTGTATTCGTGATATTTATAATGACAAGGAATTTGATTTAAATCATATCAAAGATGGAGTACATCGAGATGAAATACTACGTTTAGTAAGGAATTATAAGCTGAATAAAATAAAAACATCTGCTCTGAAGATAAGGATAGTGCTGACAGATCAACTTTCAGTTCATTGTGCGCTGCAACGTCAATCTGGATTATGGACGTCTGGATTAAAGTCTTCAACTGTATTATGTTTACATTAAAAAATCACACCTCAGTGCTCTCATTGCCGCCAAAAAAATTCACCAAATTTTGAAGGTGGGCTATACTGAAGCTGTTCCTAATAATTTATGCTTGTGTTGTATTTAGCATCATTTTCGTTCCATGATGTTAGATGTAAAGTGTGTCATCACAAACCGAAAGAGTTTGGTACCAACTTACCCCGCTTACAGAAGATTAGCTGTTATTTTAATCATAAGTATAGTGTGGAGTAGTTATGATACTTTATAGACTAGTATTCTTTAATTGAACTAATGCTGAATCTGGACTTGAAAAATCCTTTCATAACATCACATTGTTAACAATTATCTTACAAACAATTCCCATAAGTTTTTAGGAATTGTTTATGCATGGCCAATATTCATCACAAGTTCAATTATAAAGAACTAATATCATTATTTCATAACTATACTTCCTATCACAATCTATACTGAATCAATTTTGATTTAAATAAAGCTTATACAAACAAAAGAATTTACACTTTTTTGCTATCACAATTCTGCGGAGCCAGTGCAATTGATCAGACTCCATCAGGCGGCGATAAAAGTTTTTAAATTCAGGAAGGCACTGGACGGCTAAATATAGAAACAAGAGAAATTACACCGGGTGGCAAAAAGTTTGGAATTCTAGTGTAGAATTTGGTGCCCTTTCGATTGGCAACAAATTTTGTTCAATTTTGGTGATGAAACCCCATTTTAGGTTTCCATGACAGTTTTAACTTAATTTTAGCTTTCTGATTTTTTTTTCAAGTGAAAATAGATTGACAAGGCAGTGCACAATGCCACATTTGTGCAATTCTCCGATGTTTTTTAAAGTGAAAATAGATCAATGTGTACATGAACACCGAGTCTGCACAATTTTTCAACTTCTTATTTTGGTTTTGTGTAGCAGCCATCTTGAAACTGTGCTTTCCTAGCACCAATCTTGGCATCAAAAAAGAATCGCCAAAAAGACAAGGGGCACCCAATTTTAAACTTTTACCCAAGTTTGGCACCGGCTCAGCTTTTCTTAAAAATGAACATTATGCAACATTCAGATTTGCCAGGCACTCTGTACTAGTTGACAAGAAAAAAACAATCAGTAAATTTTTATAACTTTCTTCCTCTCTTCCAATTCCACACTGAAATGTAATTCTGTATTACTTAGGATTCTCGCTGAGCACTGCTTCTGAAAGGCATGAAATGGGCCTTAATTCTTCTAAGATCACGTTTTGCTAACCAACAGAGCACAGATATACTGTTATTGAGAATATGTATCACTGATCACATTAAAACATCGCTATTCATACATAACATGCAATTTCAATTATTATTCTCCTTGACAACTTTAAAGACCTCACCTTCTAATGCAGATTATTAAAGGTAACCTCATTAGTGCAGAGAGTTGCATCAGGTAGAACTCAACAAGAATATTTCCACATGAACCTGTTTCCTCTTAAGAATGAATTTATATAAATATTAAGAAATTATAATTACTTACAATGGGTTTGTCAGAAGTTTTTGCTTGAATTTTTTCTTGTTTTTGCTTAAATTTTTCCAATTTTTCTTTTCTTTTTGCTTCTTTCTTCAACTGTGCGGCACTTTTTGGAACATCAGTGCCATCGCCTACATTTTCTCCAACAGAAGCTTCTAAATCTGGCATTGTAATTTTAATTTGAAAATTAATAAAAGCACTGGGATAAATTTTAAAGCAAAAGATTCAATAAACTGCCTTAATTTCAGCGACAAGAAAAACAGGACACCTTACAAATTTAAATACCACGTTGAAAAGGATTTGTTGACAAGCCCAAACGGCTACGGTTAATCTTTTCACTTTTAGCGCTTTAATACATGGATTTAAAAAAAAAAAAAAACTTATTATGTTTTCATATATTTTATGTATATAGTTATTTGATTTTGTAATATGTAACAAAGGCCTTAATGAAACAATTAAAAAACAATATTTAAACTTATCATTAAAATGAAAATATTGTAAAATGAGCTTGGCATAAATTAAAGTTATTTTGGCAACACTGTGAATTTTTCAATATCGTTACAAAGTGCTATTCGAACAGCAACCGCATCATTCGTATTCGGGAGGGCGCTGCGATCACGAAAGCTGGAGGCAGTGTCTAAACATAGCTCCGAAATTTTTTAAATAACTGTTTCAGTAAATATTTTCAACTCTCTAAAAAAGTTTAATTCACCTTTCCTATGCAATGTCTCATTCATCAAATTGAAAAAAGGAAACTTCGCTTCTTCGAAACTTCAGATGTTTTGTTAGCTGCTTACTATCAACACGAGAAATCCAAAAGAGGCCCTGACACGGAATATTCAGATAAGTAACATTCTGTTCTTTTATACAATATATGTTTCTCTATCACTAGAGTGCAATTAAATTCTTTATTTATTATTTTTCATATGATTCTAGCATTATACAACAGTTAGTAATAGTAGCAAGTCATGTGGTTTTTTTTCTTCGTAACTATTCCGTAGAGACGCCACATTCCTTATCAGTAGTCCGTTCTTATCAGAAATTCACACCCTTCGGAGGCCCCCCTCTTCGTGCTTAGGAATTTCTTGAGAGGGAAAAAATGGGGATCTCTTGACCATCGATGAGTATAGATTGTGATTTTTGTAACTAAGATCCCCGACCTTTTTTTTTTCAGGTATCAAACTTGGAATTATGATCAAATATAAATACAGGGTGACGGAATTTATTAAACTTGTACTATAATAAATTACAACTGTTAAATTAATAAATTAATTTTATATTTAACTAATATTTAAGAAAAATAAACTGTATAATTTATTTTGTTGATTTGCTCTCACAGTGTGCATGGATTTATGATTTTGTCAATTACTGTTTTTCTGAAATATACATGAATTTTTTGGGAACGGCAATAGTTAATGTTACTTTAGTTAAAATATTATGTACATCTCTGTGATGATATATGTCTTTTCTAGTTAGGTCTCAAGATTAGGGCATACACATTACCATGTAGGAATTCATTCATTTATTATTTTTTTATTAAACTTAGCTAAAGTTTGCTTCTTAAAGACACTAATTTTTGCAGATGAACTCCTTAACTACACTCATGGACACAATCGTATTTTAGGATATTTTCTACTTCTTTTCCTTTTCTTTCTTTAGGACCTTTTTTTTTTTTTTTTTTTTTTTTTTTTTTTTTTTTTTTTTCCTCTATTATTTCTGGGCCATTTATTTTAAATTTTATTTTGTCCCATCTTTTCTTTCTGGCCTTTTGAACTCGTAAAAAATGTACGAAGTTTCTTTTTACTCTCCTCAAATACGAAATTGCCCCCCCCCCTTTCTATATACCTTTCCTTCGCACCTATGCTTGATTTTTCGCCCATCGGTGCAGAAAGACTTAGCGGGTGCAAAACAAGACATCTGTCTAATTGTCTGTCTGTCTGTCTGTCGTTACAAAGTAATAAGGTCGCCGCTTTTTCGGATGGCCAAGAGTCTCCTTTCCCCATCGATGACGACTAGCTGATAGCTTTGCAATTTGTAATCGATTACGAAGTCTCGATACTCTGTTTACGTTTTAGGCGGAATTGTGGAAAATTTTGCGGAACGGAAAAGGGCCTTCACCTTCATATTTTATTTTATTTTATTTATTTATTTTTTTGCGGTATACGAGACTGGGCGCAATGCGAATAAATCTGTATGATACACAGAAACTTGCTCATATTGCTGATACAATGATCAAGAGTATTGATATGTTTAGTTCATTTCTGTTGTTAAAATAAAAAACCGCAATTGTGCATGTAATGAGTGTAAACAATAATGAAAATTTAGATATGTCTGTATTGTTGACTAAGTAGTAATAATGCCTGATTGTAAAATATATATTAGACTACTGATTGTATATGTACGATTTAAAGTAATAATTACGTTGGGTAGAACACAGCAAAAGAATCACTGAATTTTTATTTATTTGAATAATTTTTGTTTTGTTCATAGGGATATATCTTTTTTAGGTGATATATCTATTTTAATATATTGTGTACTTAATTGTGTGTGCATATATATACGAATAAACGGGCCTTAAAACTTGGGTTGATTTAGTAAAAAAATTAAATATAGTATAATGTGTTATTATAAACATTATAATACTATACCACACAAGCACTTTCTATATATGTAATATAATCTTAGAGAAATACCAACTGAATCCTTCTTTGAATATCTATAATATTCTCTGACTGTGTTGTTTCATATACAATGATCAAGCAAAGACAGCGTTAAAATTTTGCTCCGAACAGCTGAGATGCGTGTCTAAATTTTGTACTAAACAGCACAAACTTATGTCTGGAGGTAAGAAATTTATAAATTTTGTTTTGTCTACGATTTTCATTTCTCTACATCGAAAAATTATACTGGTGTGGGGGCACCACTTCACTTAACATTTGATTTCAAGTGGCATCTGATGTTTTATGTCAATAAAAATATGACAGTTCATCCTAATTTTAATCTCTTCTTTATTGTTAGCTTTTAAGAAATTTGCTTCTTATTTGCATTTTGTTCTCTTTCTGTCAGTAGATGATATTAAGGATTTGGTTTTTATTATTTAACCATACTCTCCAATTTCTTTCTGTTGCTTCTCATGTAGGCACATGTTTCTTTTTCATTCTTGCAGCAGATATTAAGATGTGTAGTGCTTCAAGTGAACTAATATTTTGTGGATTTTTGTTTGCTATTGATTTCTTTTTAAATTATAATCCTGCTTAGTGTTAAGATTTATGCGCTGTTTATGTCTGGTAATTAATAATAAAAAAAACTATGTATTTTCATCATTTTGTGTACATTTTAACCATACAATTATTTTTGTATGCGAATAAATTTGTATTTATTGACTTTTCTTTACACCCAATTATCCCTAAAGTATATATGCTATGCTGAATGCATTATTTCAGATTCAAAATGTATACACAGAGAGATGCATATCACACTATGATGATAACAAAAGTGGTAATTTAATAACATTGACATCAAATATCACCTAAGACAACCACTTCCATAGAAAATTTTTTGTAGCAGCTGTGTCTGACTGTCTTACAGAAGTGTTTTGTGATTTAGAATTAACTCGTTGTAATACTGATGCAATTTAAGGTTACTAATATGTGCATTCAGCTGTTTTTCTTTATTAGTTCAAACAACCCATGTTATTGATCAAAAAGCAATACCTTATCGTTAGTCATATTATAAAAATTAAAAAATGGGTTTTGGAAATTTTCCTCCTTATGCAATGATTTCCAGTTTGGTAAAAAAGCTTTCATAAGTTGATCTTACTATGGGCACGTATTGAATTTTATTTAGTGTTAAAAATCATTTCTATGGTATATGTACATATTTTTACAGTTTTTAAAATACTTCAGAAATTCATTATCTCATGCCACAAGGCATGCATAAAATAAGCTTATTTCCTTGTACTATTATTAAGCTGTCCAGAAGAAGCCTTTTTTTGACAATGGATCACTGAAAGTTATGCTGTATCTTTCTGTTAATTAGAAAATAATTTTGGATAATAAAATAAATGTATTAGAAAAATATTATATTAAAATGATATTTTTTAAAACACATAATTAAATTAATGTATTAGAAATCTGTAATTTAAAGCAAACCTTCGTTCTTCAACTACATATTCATTTCCGATACCCAAAGGCTAATTCCATCATAATACTTGTATTTTAACTCGTCATTATTCAGCAAAACTTTTTGATTAAAAAATTCTGTATTCGTCCTTTGTGATAAAAGCCCAAGATACGAACCTCCACCATCTGCAAAATGCATGGCTCTCTTTGTACAGGATCTCTGTGGCTGTTACTGGAAGCCTAGAGTATGTTCAAGCAGTAGTAAATAGGCTTCCTTATTCTCTGTTTATTTAGTGTGTGATATATTTGTTTTGTGTGTGTTTATTTGATAGTGTGTCTGTATAAATACTTTTGTCTGCCATTGGAAATAAAAATATATGCATTACAAATCCGAGTTATTAAGTATATTAAGGCTGTTTACATTTTTCATTCCAAAACATATATTCAATTAAAATACATTATGCAATTTGTGTTCATCTACATTTGTTAATGTTTAATTAATGCCAACAGAAACATGTTCGCATAAATTCCTCTAAGTAATTTAAACATGAGGTTGTTTAAGAAGGCCATTTTTTATCCATTCATTTATTGAAATATTTGCATTACTTCTTATATATTAAAATTTACATATATTATGTACTTTTTTCAGTAGACAATCCAAGAATATTCTATATGTTAAAATGTATGGTATATGCAATAATTCCCCCCCCCCAAAAAAAAAAAGAAAAAAAAAAAACTTATCCTCTATTTGTGATCTTATTATCTGATTGTGTCTTCTTCAAAATACACAAATAATCTGATGGAATGAAAATATTTTGGTCATTAAAACTTTTTAATCACTGCTCTTTACATCTACATTTCTTTTTTCACATAATCTGAAGTTTTCGAGTAGTCTGAAGGTTTTCAAACTGTGTTTCACAGAAATTTTAGATACCATGCAACTCCTCTAGGGCATCTGTAAGTCAAAATTTAAAACAATTTTTAATATCACTGGACATCAAAATGAAATACTTGAAATAATCTTTGAAATTCTCTTATTATTGTTAAAAAATATTAAGCAGATTTTTGTTTATGATTAAATTTATAATGAAATAATGAATTTCTTTTTACTTTCTGCATAAAATGCACAAATTTTATATTTCAATTCTTTAACATTTATTTTTCTGAGGATAGAAATTCTTCTATAGAAAAAATTACGATTTTAGAAGTTTTTCTGAATTTAAAGATTTGAAGACAACCCTGTTATAAGGGTTTACGATTATAATGTGAATGACCCAAATAATTGTAAATGGCCTATGGCCATACTTAATACACATATTATTTAAATTGACATGCTTTACCTGTAATGTACATTTGTGACTTATGTTATAATTTAAGTGCACCAGTTTACTCACACTTATCTGTATTGTATGTATGTATTATATGCATCTCTAGACTCAGGTTAAAGCTAGCTCGTTTCCCCTTTCTCAGCTTTCCCAGATGACATTTTTGGGTCTTTACTGGAACTCGACGCACACTTTATTTCGGCTAGAATAACCACTTATCTCACTCTTCTTTTATTCAAAAATTATAACATACTAATTTGGGGAAAAAATTATATTTTATGTTAGTTACTCATGACAACATTCGAAACAACCTACATGTTCGACAAGGGGTAGGGGTCTAGGAAAGCCACAACTTTTTCAATGAACTGGATGAATAAATGCAGCCCTGCCTTTTGTTGTGTTTTATGCATTTATAAATTTCTACCTGACTGTTTATTCTTTAATTCTATATAACACAATTAATCGATGCTTGTTTCTTGTATGGAATTTTAACATTAATTCTACATAACATGAGTAATCTTTTTTTTTTTAAATTGTATTTTAGCATTATTAAAAAACACTTTGGCACTATGAACTGAGAATATCTGTCAATCTGTCTTCTACGTTAATTTACAATAATATAAATGTGAATATCTGAATGGAGTTATATTGAAAGATCTACTGGATGCTATGATTCCATGATGGTCAATCCACCACATTGGAAATATTAAATCAAACAATAAGTACAGGAAAAGATTCAGCAAGACAATATATCCTCTTTTGAATGAATACATTTAACTGTAGTTATTCCAAATATGTTTATACAACACCCCAAAATCATGGAAAATAACTTTCTAAACCGAGTTTACAGTGTAAAAAAAGTAGTGGAAAAATGTTGTAGTCATGTAACTGGGCTATCTAACATAAAAATTACAGCATATTACACCAGTGTTCTTACCTTTACTGCATATTACAACCAAATAACTACAATTAGATATGAGAAAGAACAGGCAGTGTCAGTACAACCAAGAGTAAAACTTTTACAGAGTTGCTAATTTGAAAACAAGTGAACCTGTAAAACTAACCCTGCATACTGGTTTGCTTTAGATGCATTTGGTAACCAATATGCCGTAAGTCTTTACCAGATTCAGTTTTGAGTGCATTAAATACTATATTGCTCATATGTCTTGATCGTGACAATCAATGCAGCTGCAGCATTATTGAATAGAAATAAGTTATATGACTCTCAAATAAGTGTTTGTAAAGTTGTTCAGGAAATAAATATTACTAAATAATAACATGTATTATGTTTATTGAATTGTACAAAACTTATATGTTATACTTTGAATTATCGTCAATTTTAATTGTCTGAAATCTGGTATTTGATAGTATATAGTTGTAGCAGTTTTTTCACTATAAATTCTGAAGAATCCGAAAATAAATGCACATACTAAAGTATTTCAAGTATGATAATATTCAGTATTTAAGATTATCCTAAAAGTATGAAATTTATTATTTTATTTGAAAATAAGTATTAGTGTATCCATGGCATGCAGGTCCCCGAGATTACTCTATTATCCACTCATAGGTGGGGGTGTCACCTTTGCCAAAGGCTCTTTGTAGCCTGCTTTAGGTTTCATACTAATTTTAATTACTGGCCATCTACTGAAATGGTTTCTTTATGTATATCCACCTTTATTCCAACTCTGGTATTTCTACGGCGATGGAGGTTTAGTTGACCATACTTCTTGACAATTCTTTTACTTTTTTTTAGTTTAATTTTTTTTTCAATTTGAAGCGGTAGACCAGTATTTTCATCTCGCATAACTGTTTTTGAAGCAGACTCTAAAATCTCCTTCAAAGAGTTGGCTACATTGTGTAAATTTTCGCTATCTAAATTCCAAAGGAGTGACCGAATTGATCTGTAATTTGCATCGCACTCATTGATCAAATTTCTTTTTTTACTCAACGTTGCTTCTTCAGATATGGTGGGTAAATTATCTGATGTTCCACCTGAAGGAGTTTCAGTTGATGAATATTTTCGTTTTCTGGTGCCTGAAATACTTCTTGAGACTAAATCTTCATCAACTTTGAAAATAGGTGTTGAAAATAGCCATTCTGCAGTACATTCCAAACTCCAGGCTGGAAACTTCATGCCAGCAAACACAATATGCTTGCACAGCAGTCGGTTTCTTCTGAAATCTAAGCATGTGCATTGACACAGTTGTTTCTGTTCATCAAACGTGACAGAAATAAACTGCATCATGCTTAGTTTCAGAAGAAACTTTAAAGAAGCCATGTGAATTTTTTTTATACTACCCACATAAACTTCAGCAGCTCTTAATTTTGTTTTTATGTGATCAATTAACCATTTTGGCTTATTGATTAAATAATTTGGTACATGTTCATTGTATAATCTGGCCTGCGAAAGCATACTCAGATTTTTTCTGACGTAAATTCTATATCTTTCTGGCAGAAATTTCTCAACCAAGATCTTAATTATTTCAGACAGCATACAGTTTTTATATCCCTGAAGATATCTATATTTTAGTTCCTCATTTAAGCGTTCAACACCATTGTTCGAGTTTATGAATAAGTCATTTGGTTTGTAAGCCAAAGCCCATCTCTCAATTTCCTTGAACCATGTTAATTCAAAATAATCTTTCACAGCTTCATATTGGTTCCATGATTTTAATACCTCTATTGCTGCAACCATTTCATCTTGAGTTGGAGCATTTGCTATGGCACGTAATTTACACAAAAGCTCTTCTTTGGGAACCACTGCATTCTTTTTCTTAGAAGCCCATCTTGACCATGCCTGCTCTCGATGGAAACTACATATAAAAACCTTAATTCCTGTAAAGACATTTTCCAAACTTGTAATTTCTTCCATTGCAAAATCAACCATCCCATATTTTGGTCTAACGAGAGGCGACCAATTTTTAATAATTATAAGAGCTTCTTCTAATGCTTTGGCTGTTTCATTTTGTGTAATTATTATGCTCACTATTTGATAGTTCACATTTGTTTTGACAACTAAAAAATAAAGTGGGAGAGCATACTTACAGGTTCGATAGGTCGCGTCGAGAAGAACAAGATTAGAACCATATAAGACATATAAATTTTTCATTTCTTCACTTTGATATACAAATAGCAGATTTAGTTTTGAATCTGTAAAGTCATTTGGCTCAGTACCATCATATGTATTTTCAGTACATGGTCTAAAAAAAAAACAGAACACTTGGAAGTATCCCAGCTATTTATTAACATTTCTGTATTTTCCTGGTCAATTTTACTAGTTCTAATATCGGATTTTGCTTGGCTTATTATTTTCCTAATTGCCTCCATTTCTGGATAAAATCGTCTGCGCGTTTTATCAGTTTCTCCCAATTCAGTTGAAACGTATACTTCTAATAGCTCTGCAATTACAGTGGCATTGCATTTTCCATTCTTAACTTTAGAAGCTATGAAATGCCGCACTCTAGCATCTATAGGTTCTATTACTGCAGCCATGTTACCCATTAGATGATGATTTTGATGATCTTGGCTATTAGGTAAATTAAACATGAAAACTTCTTCACCAGCAATACTATCTTTATTGGCTAGTTTTTCCTTAATTTTCCGAGATATCATAATCTTTCTTTTTCGGGTTGGCACTACCTGTAATTTAAACATATTTATCACAGTAAAATTTAGAAATTCCAGCACAGTCATCTAAAACTAATTATTGATAAAGGTTCAATTTTAAAAACTTTCTGTTCATAGCAAATTATTCAAAAAAAAAAAAAAAAAAAAAAAAAAGAGGAGTCATTTTCTCATTTCTTTCCTTTAAAAAAAGCTGTAAAAAGGATCTTCCATTTTTATAACAATAGATCAAATTACTTCTTCAAAGAAACATAACCAATAAAACTTCACTTTGAACAACTTATTTCTATTTGTAGCAAATTGGTTAGAATATAATTAGCATAAAAAGCCTTTATTTCTGGCCTGAAAACATCATTTTATTTGCATGTCAATTACTGAATTATTTATTTAGGAAAATATTACCGTTAAAAACCCTCTTTTGGCAAAAAAAAAAAAAAAAAAAAAAAAAAAAAAAAAACCTATTTAGAAAAATATGTTGAATAAAGAGACACAAAAAATCATTTCTCTTTTTTACATTGTGACTCTAAAAATACCTTTTGTTTTTATGTCAAAAAGTATGTATACTTTATCATAGAATACCTTCAATACATCTTGCTCATACGTGACAGAATTATATTTTTTCCTTAAAAAAAAAATTCTCTAAAATTACTAAGACCATCTTAGAACAAAAAGTTAAATAAACTTCTACCTTGAACTGAGGCATCCTGTACATTCGGGTAACATTAATTACAGCTGGACAATTAACTTTTTTAGTTGTCTGGTTCTTGGAATATGCTTTACCAAAAGCATGATCAGTTTGACACTAAAAGAAAAAAAAAAAAAAAAACACACACACACATATATATATATATATAATCCAAGAGGTGATATTTTTGTATAAATTTTTAAATATAACAATGTTATTTTACCTTTTCATTTTTTTCTTTAGCATAATTTTCCTTTTGACGTTTATTCAGATCTTTTCCTTGATCAAACATAGGTTTTCCGCCCAAAGTGGAAATAGGGAATATCATCTAACCAGTTTAATCGTAAATCTGGAGTTAGTTCAACTGGAAAGAAAATTTTGATTTAGATCACAATCTGATAAGCTTTGATTTTTAAAAGAAAGAAATTACAGATCTCTATAAACATATTATACATTTAACATTATACTTTGATTTTTAAAGAAAGAAATTACAGATCTCTATAAACATATTATACATTTAACTGTCTCTATATATACTACATACTGTAGACACTGCTTAATGTATTGCAGCTGCTGATGTCGTGTATATTGCTATTGAATTTCTAAGTTCTGCTCTCTTTCATATATGGAAACATAAAAAATGCATCATTTGCTGTAATTTTATTTGCTCAATTTGGTTAATATAATCAAAATATTATACAATAAATTTCTTAAACTGAAGAACGAAAATGATTTTAATCAAGCATTTAGAAAAAAAGCGCAAAACAATAAAATTAAAAAAAAAAAAAAAAACTTAATTTCATACGAATTTTCAATAGCTATTGATTTGGAAGGGCTTCAGCACAGTTCCCTCTTCTTCAAAAGGGAGGTAAAAATTCCTGAAAACATTTTTGCCCAATTTCAGATTTTACATTGGCAAAATCTCTTTAAACAAGGATGCCCTCCAAGTATTAAGATTATAGGTATAGAATTGGTCCAATAAATTTCAGAAACATTATGGACTACTCAAATGAACTTTTGCAATGAATGAGACTGTAAACAATTGATAAACAAACTTTTATTTTTCCTAATTAAAATGTTAAGAAAGTGGCTAGTTATATTTATAGTTAATTCAATTCCTATTTTAAAAGATACTTTTCTCATCATCTTATATTATCAAAAATGGGCAAATGTAATCACATTAAGCAGCACCTACTGCAAACATAGAGAGATATTAAAAGCATTAAACTATTATGTAAAAAAATTATGTCATTTTGTCTCATATTAAAATTATATATGCTAGGTAAAGTATAGAATGAGCTAGCTGCCTTACGCAAAAGGGATGCCTTTGAGAAGGTCTAATGGGAAACTGTCTTGTATTCACTTATATATAAGGAGAACAGGAAAATTCCCATGCAGCTAATCCATTCAACAGTATTTGTACCTTGATCAAACATCCAGTATTCAGCTATCTTATCTGCTAGTCCATTGGTGCTAAGAGTCAAAATAGACAGTAATGTGATTTTACACACAAGATAAGTAGCATTCATTGACTAAAGAA